GTGTATTGTGAGACATTTTCAATCTATACTGTGCATCACCTTCCAATAAATATTGCTGCATTTTGCTGAACAATAAATCTGTGTACACCTCCGAGGTCATCCGTCCTCATCTGTTTTCTGTCTAATCATAAACAGCCCGTCACTGACCCAATGCGACTGGCAGCCATGCATGCCATCACGCTGCCTCCACATAATTTGCAGGTGAAGTTGTTTGCTTCAGGTCATTAGACATTCCATGCCCTCCCCTTACTTTTTTCCTCCCATGGTTCTGGTAGAAGCTGATCTTAATGTCACCAGGCCAAAGAATGCTGCTCCTGAAATGGGCTGACCTTTCTGTAGGTGAGGTTTATAAATGGCTTTCTCCTCATCAAGAACCCTTTACTTATCACCTTTGTACTAGGTTTGGATGTTTTGGTATTCTTATTAATATTTTCTTTTCTTTATTGTTGTGATAGATGTGTGCTGCTTTTAAATTTTCAACCATTTCTCTGGTCCATTATTTAGCTTTTTGTTTAAACAAAATTTCTCTTGGCTGCATGTGCTGGGTTTAAAAACCCTGCAAACATTAATAGCTAATTAAGAATAGTCAACACCTGTTCATGTAACTTTGAAGTTTTAATTTAAGCCCCACATAAAACTGAAGGGTAATAAATGCATTCTTCCTTCAGTTTGAATTGAACTATTATCATATCATGCTAAAGGTCTGCACCTAAGGCCTGTTTTAATTATAAAACTGAAATGGGCACATAAAAATGGCAGAAGTGTCCACATTTATAGGAACCAGAATGTGCAGCTCTCCTTTGAATACGTTTATGGGGAAATGCTTAACTAACATGGTCAACATGGAAAGGATTACTTGCAAAGTGTGAACTTAATTGTATGCTGATGTTGTGGCTGTCAAAGCTTCACAGAGCCGCTCACATTCTGCAGGCTCTAAACATGTTTTATGGGCATTTAACTACAGTAGGTTTAGAATGAGTTACAGTGAGTGCAAAGGCCAATTAGCTTTCATTCACAAATCACTAGGACATAGTAGCAGATGTCAGGGATATAGTGGCTTCTGTGCTAACATTTCAGCCATAGCAACAGACTTCCAAAGAAATATTGAAGAAGGTTGTAACAAAACTGGAAGGAGAAAAATAGAATAAAACCCACATGGGATATCAAACAGACTAAAGGTTAATTGTGCTCATATTGCCTCAGCATGAAGTAATTTCCAACTGCTCAGTAAAGATGTAGTATAGATGGTGTGGTATATTTTCATTAGAACAGATACTCATGCAGAATTGTGCACTACATCCATTTGTTTAAAAAACATATTGAACTTTGCAGGTAAACTTGTTTACTGCTTTCACAAAAAGCCGCACATGCTTCACTCCAGGAGTAAAGTACAGAAACAACTAAAAGAGCAACCAAATATAAACAGTTTTAACATTTTACAATGAATGAGCATTGAGAGTAAACACGGATAACTTATCATTTCCAGCTAAAGATAAAGCTAAAGCCAACAAACCTTTAGAAAAATAATAACTGACTGTAATGAGCAAATTAGTTAATGAAGGGGCCAATTATTCAGCTTTTTACATTTACAAATATTTTAGAAATGTGTACTTTTTGGTAAGTTTCCCTGTCGGATACATGACAGTGGCATGTAAACAGAAGGACATGTGTCCTCCACTATGCAGTAGGTGTATGGCAGCAATGGAAACCAGTGAAACTAAGATTATTACATGTCAGCATGTCCAAAGGAACACTGAAACAGACAAGACAGTGTGCGGTGATCCACTACTATGTCATGAGACTACAAATAAGGGCTGAGGGTGGACAAAAATACATTACACCAATGTTTCCACCAGGAGTGTTTTCTTAGTCATGTGGAAAGTCAGAATTTAAACATGGAAAATGCTGACTGAAATCAGCGAGCCAACAAATATAATTATTGGAGAAACCCAAGTTTGGAATAGTCTGTCCAATCTAATTACTGGTAGGAGAAGAGTTTCTAGTTAGTACAGAGTAAGATTTTTTTCTCCCTCATTTTTTGTTTGTTTTCCTATTCTAAAAAAGTCTAAGTCTTTATATTGAAAAAAACCTTATGCTAATTCTATATTGTTTTATTTACGGAAACACTTTCTTATAGAGTTTCACATATGCTCATAAGACTAACACTGTACCAACATTTAAAAATTGCAACAACAACCAACGCAAAATCAAGACAGAAACTAATACTGGCTGCTTTATACTGCTAAAGATGAAGGCGTATTTTCAAATCAAAGTTGATAATCATCCATCCATTTTCGTAACTGCTTATTCCCTAACGGGGTCCACACCACGAATCAATAAATAGAAAATCAATTTGATTGCAATGCCCACTATTCAGTTTATTTTGTGCTTTTTAAACTGTATAAACTGTATACACTGTATACAGTATTAAACTCTTTAGATATTCCTCCAAAATAAATCCATGAACATATTCCCAAACATAATGGGAACATTTTTTAATTTTTCGGCAACAATCATACAATTCAGACTATAGGCCACAGTCAAGTATGGATCCGGTGACTGCATTCAGCAGTCACTGGATGTAGTAAGCAAAGTGAAAACCTTTTTAATGAAGCCACCCTTGCCCATTCTGTCATCATTTGTCAATTCATAAATTAAAGTAGATGAGATGAGAGGAGGGAGGACTGGTGCTCTTTCAATGCAGGGCTGCTCCCACAGGCTTGATTAGGCTCATCTTCACTGGCTAACCATGTTAAACCCTTAATTGTGACTATAAACTAGCAAATACACTAATAAAATCCCAGCAGACAGAAAAGGCATTGTCAGACACTAGCTGCTCCAGCAAAGGTCTGATCGACACGGAAGACAAAATAAGTCAATGGAAGTTGAAGTAATTAAGATTTCCGAGGAGGCTTCTGTGGGCTGCCTAATTTTTAAATCATCTCCTCATCCTTGTTGTGGGAAGATATAAATGGCTAAAGCAGTAGTGACAATTAATTAATTAATTAATTAATGTGTGTGTGTGTGTGTGTGTGTGTTTTTGTGTGTTTATGTGTATGTATACTAATATGAATTCCATGTTATCGGCTGATAATAGGTCACGTTATATAATTCCAGACAATCATAAAAAAAAGATTATGTGTTCGGGAATTCTATCAATTTACCAAAAATAAATGATAGATTAAACATTTATCCTACTTATAGTGTGTTACTTTCAACAATAAAAAAAAAAAAACATTGTCTATGCTGACCAAGTCAACATGTGTTACCTTTGAACGGTTCTAAACAACTTTCAAGTTGATATGGCCACTGTACAATATGGCCCAGTGGAAATAAAATATAAAGGTTTTATCATCATGGCTAAAAGGATTATTACTATAAACAACATGTCAGACAACTCCCAACTACTGCCATTTAATCTCATAAAAAGACCAGAATCATTGTGTTAAATTCAGAGGCTGACACATAGTTAATTATTTGTATGTGCCATGATGCTAAATTATTTCTAATAAAATGTTTTAACAACAAGTTCTGCATTAGGATGATATGCAGCTTTGCTGATGCACCCCTCAATGTCTGTTTTTGCAGAGATTGTTTAAGAAAAACTGGAATTCGTAAGATTCTCATTTGTATCTAGTCCTTCAAAAACATAAGAATATCTGGTTTGCATCCATGACCTCTGCTTCATATTTTCATTCTTTATCCTCATCATTGTGGATATACAATAACTGTGAACATCTTCATTCCAACTCAAGCTAACTTTGGTCCGTATTTTTGAACAAGATTAAATTTTTATCAGAGTACTATATGCAACTCAGTTTCTGTAATCACTGCTTTTGTTTGAATATTTTTTTGTTCAGCACAAGCTTACTTTGAAATAAATTGAAACAAATAAGTTATCATAAATCTGCCCTAACAAGAGGCAAGAATGTAGCATCCAGAAGTTTTTCCATTAGCCAAACCTTTATCCAAGCAACCATGTATATGCAGCATCTTGTTCAAGGCATTACTTTCATTGGACATCTCATAAAAGTCCTGCTATTGTAACAAATGCACTTATGAAATGTAATTTTTAGTCCTTTCTCAAAAGCAATTGCGAGGTCAAAAGAGGAACAAAGTAATCACAATTCCCTGTGGTCTTACAATGTTGATGCTACCGAATATCCAGATAAAATAAATTGACATCAGAGGACCAAATGTACTGGGATGATTATCCTGCAAAACTGCAACACACAATCTGCTGGGTCTGTCCTTCTCATGGCTATTACTGATAGTAACAGAGGAAATCATACATTACTCCTGAAGAGTGTTTGCAGTGTAAATGTTTCAGGGCCACATGATCTTCAGCACCAGTGATGAATCATAATTATGAATAATGATTACATTCATCTATTGTTTTGTGGGATTAGATGATTTAATGAATAATTTGTGCTAAACCTATTACCATATCAACGTATTGTGCAGAGCTTTTAAAGAGCTTCATAAATCCTTTTTTAACTGTTAAGTTAATTATTTGATTATTGAATGCTGTAAACATTTCTTATGACTGACATTTAGTTTATTGGCTGAGGCAGTGTTTCATACTTGAGGGGATAGCTTTCGTTTAACAGTCACATGACACAGGGGCACATTAGCCCCACAAAGACACAAAACACAAACCATGGCTTTAGCTACCATCTTTAAAGAAACAACATAAGGGTTTACAACAGCAAAGAGGTAAACAAACAAAAAAAGATTTACTCCTATGGAAACCTAATGTCAAATGAAATAATAAGATACCTTAGCTCTTGACATTTAGAAAATACTATATATTATTTTTCTAAATGTTCACAGCAAACCTTTATGAATGTGGAGCAATGAATTGACATTGAATGGTTAAACTAAGAAAAAGTAGATAATCATGGAGGCATCACAGTCTGAATGCATGTTTTTATAGATTACAATTGTGAACATTTGTTTAACCCTGTGTGTCTCCTGTCAAAGTGAGTGTATGTATTTACCTGCGTCAGCTGCTCCAGCTTCCGTTTCAACCCTTTCAGGACAGTATCTGTATTTCGGACCGTCATCTCCGGGTTTTCCCTCTGGGCTGTTAAAGTGCTTCCAACAACACGACTTTCATAGCTACATTGAGACAGAGCATAAAAAAAACATGCAGACATACAGAATTTAGAGATTTGTTTCATGTGATTATATGCATATGTTTTCTATTCTCTAAAGTATGTTCTATGTCAGTGTCCAGTAAAGCACCACCTCTACTAAAGGCAGAGGGGAATTAGAAATTCAAATCAGAACAGATATCTTTACCATGTGTCTCTTCAACAAAAAAGAAATTCTGCATAAGGAATGGTGGAAGGCAGGACAGGTAACGTATGCAGTACATTCACATGTTGAATACAAGAACATAGCTTCTGTTTTTTACACTTTTTTGTCAACTTTAGCTACAAAAATCACAGCATAAATAGTTCTAAGGGCACATACATATTAATTGTTAAGAGCAGGAAATCAAACCAACTTGTTTTGATTTATAAAGTATTATTAGAACTAAAATGTGTTCTTTTTTACAAGCATCAACTTTATAGACACCATTTTGCCCATTCCCTTGCTGGATCATTGGCCATTTCTTAAAGACTTTACTGCCATAAAATGTTAATTTGATGGAAACTGGACTGGAAATGATCTAAAAAGCACAAAATGTCAAACGAAAAACTTTGAATGACCTTAAGAAAACATGGAACACTATAGCTCGACACCACTTCAAAATATTAGAAGATAGCCTGGCTTTTGGAGACAAAACATAAAGAGAGAATAATTGTTTACAATAAATACTAATGGTTTGCCAAATGGACATAAAATAAATCTTCGGCTCGAGTGCCTTTGCAGTTTGTAACTCTGTAATAATAATAATGTGGTTCAGTTAATGGAACATTTAAATTTAATGAAGTTTTTTAAAAACTTTAAAAATTGTATGACAACCCATGTCTGAAGATAGCCTTTAAATGATTAATTGGGTGGAGCAGCCCAAAAGTAGAAAACACATGACTGAATGTGATCTTTGATGGTCTCATATGTTGATGCTTCTCTCTTCAGCCGGCTGAAAGCAAGTATCACATCATTTGGCTTGTGTGGAGTGTTAGGGTGGGTGGATCAAAAGGAATCTGGAGTGAGTGAGAGGCAAAGGAGGAGAAGCTCGTGAGTCACATTTTCCCATGTTCCAAACCAGCTTTGCTAGTTAATACAATCAGCAACCAGCTCAGTAACCGCCACGGTCCACACCCTCGAATACACAAACACACTCTGGCAGTGACAACAAGGGAAAAAGATTGTGGGAACTGAAGAGTACAGACATGATGGATAAATCTAAGATGGCTCAACAATTGCCACATTATAGTGTGGTGGTGAAGACCCTATCCTGGAGCCATGGCTGGTCTAGGATCAGAGTCCTACAGCATTTAACTATTTATTTTTTGTCTCCCAGATTTTTCTCTTTCCCAGATTTGTACATTAAATCCTTGAATTATTAGGCCATGTCTTTCTATGGATCTATTTCTACACAGACAGCTAATGTTTTTGGAAGAGTTCTGCAATATCTAATTCTGTATTTTCTGTCATTACACAGCACAGTAAACTGTGAAATATAGTCTTTAAAACAACAATCTCTGTAAATCATTGTTTTTTTTTATCACACTACGTTTTTATTAGGCTTACACCTTGTGTCATTCAATATCAAGAAATCAGGTTCCTGCATTTCCATCTAAACAGAAGATTAAAATAAAGATTCTGTAAGGGAAAATTTAGACAGCAGGTATACCACAATAGGGAAATACCTGCTCACTACGAACTAAATGCCATTTGTTCAAAATGGGGTTTTTTACTACTTACGTGTAAAACATGACAGGTAGCATGGAGCCAGTACAGAAATAAAACTTGCTCTGCTGTTAGATAATGTCATGTAGTAAACGTTTTTCTTTTTTTATACAAAGGTTGGCTTGATCTATGGAGAAAAACTGCCAGGTTCCAGCTGAACATAAAATATAAAAAGTAAAAAAAAAGATGTGCAAATGTATAGTGGTGATGTTTCAAATGTATTTCTACTCTTGTTTCGGGTGTTCTCAAAGATCTGTCTGTGCTGTTAAAAAGTGTCCAGTATGTTCTACCCTTAGCTAATGACTAATGAGGATACTGTGAATGAATCTTATCTGGACTGTCTGCTCTGTTTCTTAAAGTTTAAGAAGATTGCATGTTCGTCCAAATCCATTTATCTTAACTGGCAGTCCCAATGCAACGTAATAGGAATCTGTGTAAAATAGCTTGGCTGATGCATCAATAAACCTTGCTTTTTCACACATAGCTCATCTTTTTTTCTGGTTTGCACCATAAACAAAAGATACTTTCAAACAAATTCACCATGGAAACAGCTCCCCTTTTGATTGCCATCTGAGAAGAGCAAAAGATCAAAAGGAGGAACCCTGTTAATTGTCAGTTTATTCTATATTTTTTTTCCACTTATGATTGTACTTGTTCACAGGGATAACAGAGGATCTGAAGAAAACAGGAAGTTATGTTACAGTTCATGCACCAACATGCTCAGAATTTAGAAATTCTGCATAATGGCAGGATATTGTGCAGCATGTAAAAGCATTAACACATGTTGTTAAAGACATAGACCCCCCGGAAGGACTTGAAAACCAAAGGAAACAGATGGGAGAAAATATGAAAAGGAAAGAGGAAGACGATGATGGCAGGAAAGTTGGAGATGTATGAGGATGAAAAGGAAATTAAATAAAAGAGCAATTAAAAACCACAGACTTTCCCCAAGGGGAAAATCCCGAGATTCCTCAGACTCCAGCAAAGATTTAAGGGATCAGTTTCAACACCACACATTCAGAGCATATGTTGTAGTCAACACCTCACAAATATTGTGGCATATTTCATGTTTTTAGATAACTTCTTTTATGTCCTTTAAAACTTGGAATGTGCCTGTCTTTACAAATTATACTTCTTCCACAAGTGACAAGCAGCCATGAGGTTATCGTTACAAATTTAAAGCTACAGATAGGCAAAAGTTTTTGCATCTTTCAGCAGCAGCTCATGTAATTTCACAAGTACGGGAACAATAAAACCTTTATTCCCAAGAGTAAAAAGATAGTTATCTGTAAATACAAACCATGGATTCTTTTGTTTCCTAAGAAAAAGAAAGAGACTTAATCATGAAAAATGCATTGCTTAATATTGCAATTATCTCCTCTACTGAATCTCAGAGCTTGAAAATAAATTGAATCTATGGGCCTGGAGGTGGAGGCAGCAAAATCTCTGTAAGTTACATCCTTGCAATCAGGTATGGAGAGGAAAACAACTTCAATAATGTTTCTCCTGCAAGTCAGAAGGAAAGTGTGTGTAACAACTCTTTAATATTTAAATGTACTTTAAATGTATATATCAGAGCTTTCATGCTCTCTGACCTTTTTTACTATCAGTGGAAGTATAAGTGGTGCAAATAACTGTTATGTATCCCAATACAAATGGGGTGACTGCCCATCAAAGGGACTGTCTAATAAGTAACTCTGATATCATGTATTTCCATGTTGGAATTTGAGGTAAGGTGTCCAGCAGGACCAGGATGATAGGAGGTTTGTATGCCTCAAGCTGATATTGATTTGCTATTCAAGGATTTGGCAGGTGCGGGCATCTTGGAAATTGAACCACAAGAGTCAATTTATATTAATATGACTATACAAAACCTCATTGAGAGATCAATTTTTACAGTACTTAGGGCCTTGAGCATATCATTAGCAGTTAAAGAGGGAAAAAAAAACCTGAATTGATTATGCGTACACTGACATTTAAAAGGGAATACATTTTTAAATTAAAGTGCAATCAGAGGCTGCTAAAGCAGAAATAAAATCATTTCTGTTTGGAATTCTGTGTAACTGCTGTAGCGATGCTCTTTGTTTCCCAATTTTAGTTCAGTTTCTGCTGCCTTGGTGAAGCTTTAAGCACTGTGAATGAGCTCCTGAGCAGACTACAGAGTGTCAGGTTGCTGTGTGTGTTTGACACTAGATGATAATACAGCAGAAACGGTGCCACAAACGACACGGCGAAGTGTGACTGTGAGTGACATTTAATAAGATCTAGAGAGGGACAGACATAAATCACCAGCACCACCCTGACAATGCGGCTCTGCTGCTGCCCTTGGATACCGCGAGGCTGCCAACAATCACACAGACTAATTGTTGATTAATTTCTTGCATATTATTTCTGCAACTCACACGTTGAGATAAAGCGGTGAAAAAAATAACATAAGCTTTGGTGATCAGATCTGAGGTACATGTGTAATTATCAGAGCTATATAACCTCAGCTGTAAATAAAGCTGGATTCCTGTGGACTCATTCAAACCAATCCCCTCCATTCTCCCACACAGTCCCAATGATTCATTAAAAAAACAAACTGACATCTTATAACAACACCTGAGGCATATACCTGTACCACACGTTGTTTTGGAAAAAAGGTGATAATGCTGTGGCTTGGATAGTTTCATGTTTGATGGTCTCTACTTTCATCCTCACCCTGCCCCAGGACATTACTAACTCCTTCTTCTAAAAGAATTTCCCACACTCAAGGAACAAAAGAACAGCTGTGTAAATTCCCCTAAATACCTTGAAAGATGCAGAAAATACTTCACGGCTTTGGGTGTGGCATGTCTTCAGAGAAGCAGATTGTCTTTTTTCTCCGATGGTGTTATGACGTCTCCCTCTTCTGGAAGCAAGTAGCCATTACAACTTTGAATGCAAATATTGCAAGCTAAATGATGGGGAAAACAGTTCTATTTCGCTACTTTCGCTATTTTAAGAAATATGCACACTTTTAGCTTTACATTTAATTATCTTAATTGTTTTGAAAAACTGTAAAAAGGATGCATTCTGGGGAATTGTGGATAACTTATAGATTGGAGACTCTTGACACGCATGCCAGAATACTCTGATCACAGCTTTACCTGAGTGCAATTCCTGTTTATTTGTTGTAGCTGTTTAAGGGCCTTGTCTTTGTTTTCCCTACCTGGCTGACTTGATATGTTTTCAGGGGATGTAATGGACATGTCAGGTCTGTTTGAAGGATAGCCTACTGTCAACTTGGGTCTACCATCATTTCTAAACTGTAGATGTGCATTGAGCTTCAGTTTCAGTTGTCTGATAGAAGGATTTTCTTATATTTTATTGTGCTCATATTGTGTATGATATTCTGCTCTCTCCTTGATATTTATCTGAATATATCTATTTTAGAATAACCTAACATGAACCCTAAGACTGTCTTATGTTTTTTTCAAATGAATAAAATAGAAATACATCATGAAGAAACTTTATTCCAGTTTACTGAAGCTTGGTGTATATTTCACACAGGATTCATGTACTGAGTCTTCCATATCATGCCAGCTAATAATCCTGAAGAATAATCTGCTCTCATCTCCTCCGTCATCCAGTCTCAGGCTTTCTCATCATTTACTGCTTTCCAGTGTGTCTCTCAGAAACACACACTCTCACCAGCACAGACATTTGTAAGTGAAGTGGGTCAGAGAGCGGAGTAGATGAATGGAGGTCTGAATAGATGGTTGGAGAGATGAATGGATGGCTGAATTAATGAATGAATGGGTGGATGGATGGACGAAAGAGAGAAGAAGATGTAAAGAGGTCAGAGAGGCTCAGACTGGCTTCAGTCCAACATATGCCAATGGCTACATCTCTTCTAGGCTTTTGGGTTTTCTTCAGCAAAAACTTTGCAGAAGAGAAGATGTATGAATGTTTAAATTCTGCCCGTCAACAGATTACAAAGATATTCTCTTTCTCAGGGTTGAAATATAAAGACCTCTGTATTGTTAAGTTGTGTTTCATCCAAATGTTTCCTTAAAAAGATATGACTGGCTTTAACCCATCATGACCACATGCAACAATGTATATTTAACCTGTTTTTCAGACTCATAACATCTGGCGTATTCGACCTTTGTGTTTCATAATTCACACCAGTGTCAGATATTTACAGGTAAATGGAAGGTTTAATTTATTTAATATTTTCCACATATTCACAGTTTTTTTTTATGGTATAAAACTTTGGGTGGAAAGAGTCAGTTATGTCATATTCTTGAGATACTCCACTCAAAGCCTTTCTTAGATTTCAGAGCCTTCTTTAAAAGGTGACTGATGTGTTAATGTTCTAAGAAAAATCATGGCAGATCCATCCATCCATCCATTATCAATACCGCTTATTCCCTGATGGGGTCGCGGGGGGAACTGGAGCCTATCCCAGTGGTCAACGGGCGAGAGGCAGGGTACACCCTGGACAGTCCGCCAGTCCATCGCAGGGCCACACAGAGACACACAAGGACAAACAACCACTCACACTCACATTCACTCCTAAGGGCAATTTCCCCAATCTCCAATCAGCCTAACATGCAGGTTTTTGGACTGTGGGAGGAAGCAATAATATCATTGGCTCAAAATGTTCAATGCTACAAATTGAAAATAATTCAATTATCAATTTAACGGTTGCATTATACTTTTGTCAGTTCAGTATTTTCTAATACAAAACTGGTTCCTGAGTGAGGTCCAGTTGTAGTTTTCTCAAATTGTCTGTAGAGGTTGACAGATGGTGGGGTCATTAAACATGAGAGTTGTTGGCCTTCACTACAACTCTCATAGTGACAAAGCAAAGTGTGTTTGTGTGCATGTATTGCATGCCCTTGCAAGGCGACATGGCCTGTTTCAAATGACTGACAGACTATAATCAATTCCCCCACTAAGATGGATACTGACAGAAGATTGAACAATTTATCTTTGTGTTAGCGTGTATGTGCATGTTTTAAGGATGTCTGCTGTGAGATACTAGATGACAAATATTATCACACATACTTTGTGTATTGCAGGTTGCATGATAATATCTAAGGAGGAATGTGTGTAGTGCAGTGTGTTTGTGTGAACATGTGTCTACTGGCACAGGTGCATGCCCATTTGTCTTGTAACTAGTTTGAGCTGCCAATGTAATCACCATGACAAAGACTCTGGAAATGAACTCTCTAACCTTAACACCCCTGTCACCCCCCCGCCTCCACCCTGGCAACTACTTGGACCAAGACAAACATACACACCCATACACACAAACACATACGCTGCACTGTCATCTATTTCTTTAAACTTAACAAAAATAAATTAATATATATGTGTCTTTTAACAATATGAATTTTATATTTTATGTAGATGTATTGTACAGCTACAATAGCCTCTATGTTATAAAAATCTACGATAAACTGAAACAAAAACAACAACTGCCGCATCATCACTCTGACTATCATAAAGCTCTTGTGTAAATGCAGCCCCATCGCTCTGTTAGTTATGTTAACAAATGCAATGCAGCACACATACCTCTCCACAACATCTTGGCCGCTCCAGCATGTGTGTTGCTCAACCTCCATCTCGCTTTCACAGAGCATCTCTGGCAGCTCAGTGAAAAACCACTGGTACCGTTGGATAGAGCCTTCAAACTCCCTGAAAGAGCCAGAGGTTTGCACAGCTGAATGCTTTGGTTGTTGTTTATGTAATACCCAGCTGAAAAAAACAACAACATTATATCACCTCGACAGCTTCTTCAGGCTTCGACTCTTGTCTCTTCTTGAGCCCTTAAGAGGGAATGACCTGCCGTAAAACGAAGCAATGGTAAAGTTCAAAATCAAATATCAAACCATCCTCACTAACCTGCTTATCTTAATCTCCTTGTTAAAAATTAATGGATGCTCTTAAGTGTAAAGAACTTACTTTCGAGGCTGCCACTGCAAACGTCGATGAAGAGGAGGAGGGGAAATCACAGGGGACCTCTTTAATGTTAATGAAGTTGTATGAATTGTTGTATATAAGTAGTCTGTCATCAAAGGCCCAGATGCCTGTGGTCCACACACCTTCTCTACCTGCAAGAGAAAACGGGAAAAAATGCAAAGTAATAATAAGTAATAAGTAATAATAAGACATAAGTATGTTTTATGTATAAGTGAGTAGATTGGAATTGCCAGTTTGTTACTGTCCTGGTATTGAATCTATTTTGGCATTTTTTGGCTATCCAAGTTGTCCAAATATTTATTGATGTGAATGGTTAAGAAAATCGATCAATCAGCAAAAAGCACACAGAACAAAGTGACATTAGTCAATGCAGGTTGAATCCTTGGCTTGTCTTCTTTTTTTTTTTCTTGCGTTTCAAAATATGCTAGGTTTGCAGGGAGTTTCATTTGTAAACTTCTGGAACTGATTTTTTGGGAGTCCATCTCTTCAGAGAATACAGAATATTCTTGATGGTGCCTTTGTTGACATCCTCTCAGAAGGGTGTCTTTGTCTTCTAAGCGTCAGCTCATTTTAACTACCACTTTTCATGACATATACAAACTGAAGCAAACAGAAAGCATTTCTTTTCTTAAGAGCTTTTGCTGCTTTGCCAGACTGCACATTCGTTTTGGTGCATCTCACTTGAACAAAGTACACATCCCTGTGGTCTTACATGTCATATCATTCTAAACACAGCACATGTAGCAGTTTTGTTTTGGTATCAGGACTCGGGGCATTTGGTGAAGTGTTGAATGAGTAAAAAGCTGATCAAATATTTGGTGAAGTGGTCTTCTCTTTTTGGTTAGCAGTGTAATATTGTTTGTGTATGTTTGTTTACCTCTCAGGAATCTACTCCACTAAGTCCACAATGTTCTTTCAAAGTTGGACCCCGACTCCATCTGTTCCTCCAGCAGTGTGTGCAAGCATGCATGTATTTGTGTGTCAACCGTTTGTCCACAGATTAGCCACAGAAACTTTCTCATCACTCAGAACCAAGCTGCATTATGGGTATCGGTTGTCACGCCAACCACAGTCTTTGTCTGGCACAAGATCTGCATTCACACACATTCATGTGGACACACACATATTGGGGGGAACCCCAGATTCACTAAAGAATTAGGCTGTTTTTAGCCTATCTAGGTACAAGGCTTTTGTAAGGAGATCCAACTACCATGCTGAAAGAAACCCACGGCCTTTCCTCCTCTCGGTCCAAAATCTAAATGACTTTATTAAAAAGCAATATAAATAATTATGTTTCATGATCTGAAGCTGGTCTTCACTTAATTGATGTCTTTAAATGCTTTTTTCCCCTCTAGGTTTCTCTATTGTGTTTCATAAAATGTATTTTATGTTGAAATAAATGCACAGCAGAGCAAAGACATTTACTTACTGTGGCTGTGATGCGTGGTCCATGCAGTTGTGTATGTAATATGGCATCATTCACATGATTTCGGACAGCTAACAGAGCTAGCTCTAAACTGTTGTGGTTGCTGCTGGTCGCTAAAGTAGCAGCTAAACGTTGGAGCAATACTACCAAATTTCCCCAGGGGGCACCCAGTTCAGACACACCCACCTACAGTCAAAGACAGAGAGAAAGAAAATGATGATGAGGATGTGCAAGTGTATGACACAGTGTAAAAACCCAATATGATCAAAATATGTAAAAATGAATGAGGTTGAGATTGACATGTATACTTTAAAATCATAAAATGACAACCTTGGCATGAAAGTAAAGACAAAGTGTGTAAATAGACAGGATAATTAGAACTAATTTGTCCTTCCTGTGTCTTTCCTTGGCTTTGCTGTTTGGGTTTTCTTTCCTTTTTTTTTTTCTCAGAGGAGGATAAACATGTTTTGAATTGTTCTTCTGTCACACATTCCTTGCTTTCCAAGAAACTCTAAAGCAGTACACACAGAGCTATCTTCCACTTTTGTGCTATAAAGAAGTTCCTCTTCTGTGGGCAGTGTTTGAGCTGTCCTGCAAATTTCAAAGCACACCCTTAAGATGCATGAAGGACACTGCTAGCTCTCTTGGCAGGGCTCTTGTTTGACAGTTTAAAACTTAATGTGGTGAAATTGCATTGTGGACAAAATGCTGCCAATGAGTCAGTAATGTCAGTGAAGAAAATACCACTGAACGTGTGAAAGCATTCTAAAGCAAATTAGTTAGTTATGTCTTTTGGTTTTATTGTTATATGCTCCATCTAAAAAACTACTCTCTTCCTCCTCAAAGTTTTCATTTACTTTTAATCTGCTTTTAGTCTTTGTGTTCTGAAGCAGAAACCTCTGTATTCATACTTGTTTATCAATTTTAATCAAATATCAAATATAGAAAAACATTTTAAATCTTATTTTTCCTCATTCTGCAATGGTGTACTCTTGACTCTTAAACAATTTAACAAGCGAAGACACAAACACCTGCACTTCATCAGCATCCTGTTTAAGCAGAAACTGAAATGTATAATTATTTGGACTGTGTAAACCATTGAAAGACTTACCAAGCACCCTCTCATAATGTTTACGCAGAGTCCAGTACAGGGCCGTATCAGTGTCAGCCCCCTGCAGTGGGAACAGTACTGCATTTTCACTAACCCCTGCCCACATTCTCTGGATAACGTGGCCTTCTCTGTGGCATTCACCACCTCCCCGGCCAGCATCAGCAGCCGGCTCAGTGCTCGACCTGGCCTGAGAGCTTTAAACAGATTGCTGATGAGGAGGCGAGGATGGAGTCCGAACGGGCTGACATCCTGCTGCGTCATCCGTAGACAGTCATCCTGACCGGTGGAAAAAGAAGACTGGGGCAGAGTTGACGTGTGGCCGATCCCAGGGTTGAGCAGGCGACGATAGACCAATGGGAAAAGATCATCGTAGAATTGGCGCACTGCTTGGTCCAGAGAGGAATTAGGATCTCCAGAAAGGTGGCGTTTGATTTCGCTGAACAGCTGAAACACAAGGGGGCGACAGTCCGATGCGAGAGCAGAATAGGAACTGTCAAACAGAGTGCTGGTGAGATTCGCTGTGAAGGAGACAAGCGACTGAAATGTCTCTGAAATGACAGAAAACACAGGAAAAAATCTTATTGTACTAGCACTGTGTGTTTATAATAATCAACAGAGGTAGGAATATGTAAGCACTAACATGAACACAGTTTTCAGTGTTAGGACTTGCAAAATTGTTGGAATTGTCCAAGCAGATTACTACACTGTATTACTGTGAGGAACTACTGTTCGATTTTTTACCTCTACCTACAAAAATCTAATCCTTGATTCAGTTGTGTTCACATTTTACTGACAAGGCAGTAAAAACATCTTAAAACCAAATCTGAACCAAATGATTAGCTTGAAAAACATTCAATTTTATTTTTCGAATGAAAACGTAAAAAACCTGCAACTATATTTTTTAAACACATTTCTTTTTAGATGTTTTTTTTATTACCTTAAAAAACGCAACTAGTGAGATGGCAAACAAATCATATAGGTGCAAATCCTAAATGTCGTGCGTATGTGCTTTGTTCTTATTACAGGGACTATGTGAAGTTGTTTCACTTTTGGACAGAGGCACATCAAATATAAATTCATGAGCTAACTGACCTTGAGCTGACTTTATGCTGCCGCATACGAGACAAAATAGCTCAAACCTAATTCATCCCTGAGCTCGTTTTCACTGCCCTGTTATCTTTAGTCAGGGGATAATGAGCTCTCATGATCCACTGTGTTTCCTATGTCAGACCGGGGCTAATAAAGTGGACTGTGGCTTTCCCTTTTTCAGAAGCTACATGCCCATGATGACAGACAACTTATCTCAGAAAGTTATCAACCACAAAAATGTGATGCCATTCTGTAGGCATCCACTCACACACAAAAACAGACACACGCACTTGGACTTTGATCAAGTCACTCAGTCAGTCAGTGTCAATAGCTTTCAATTTCTCCACGACAGCTGATGCCCCCTGACAGTGACAGTGAAACGCCCTTTTATACAATCCTTTTTTTGTCGTTCTAAAAAGCAGCAGCTTTGGTTCAGCTCGCTGGCCATTGAACATGTTGCTAACTGGAAGATAAGTGGTTGGGAAGGAATGGAGGGCTCTCTAGATTGAAACACTGAGTGTACCATGTCCTGGAGATGGCAACCCATACACAGCATCAAGTGACATGGCAAAGTCTGACCACATGAGGTCAAATGATTAACTCATTCAACCCTCTGTGATTGGACAACAGCTGCAATGTGGACGAGAGGGCACGAGGGTCGTGGAGTGCCGGGAGAAACACACGCAAGCATGCACACGCATGTACACAGACACACAAATACACACACATTGAAGTAATCCACCGGGTGTAAACAGAGCCTGACAACAACCGCTCTGGGCATGTCTCAGTTTCTCCAGTGGGTCATAATCGCTGCACTTAAGTAAGGGATCTTCTGAGACTCAGCTCAGCTGTTGAGGAACATTAATGTCCGGAATTTTACGTTAGTTTCACTAAAGGGGAGGCACTAATCTGTCTTAGATGTTTTAAAATTTAAACTAAAATTGAAACTTCTACATATTTATCAAGTCAGTCTGGGATCAGCCTTCTTTTACCTGAGAAGTATTTTAAGCATTAAAGGATTCAAATGTCATAGTGCTTTATGAAAGCTGATGAATCCATTTATTTCAGTACACCACTGTTAGTGTTTTTTTATCAGAATAAAATTTTCCGCATTCAGAATGATGCTGCTCAAGTCCTCACAAAGCCAGAAAAGTGAATAATTTCCCTCAAGTCCTGACTTCTGTCTCTTTGGTTTAGAAAGCTTTGAATAATTTGGAGCCAAATCTTCTTGTACATCATGAACTTCAAATACAACTGTAGCAGAACCAGCAAGACTGTCTTCTTTTCAGTGCTGTAGTTTTGGCCATGTTCAGCTCTCCTTTGTTTATGGGTGTTTGGTGGCATTAATAATACTCATGGATGGTTTAGCCATCCGCTGGGCATAAATAGAAGCTGAAACTGAGCCTGTGTGAGTTCAGATGTAGCTGGCTGGAGGGGGTGGGTGAAGAGTACAGAGAGACAAAAAAAAAGAAGACAGAGAGGTACATGTTTGCCATGTCTGTCTGCTTGGTTTCATCAACTTTACTATTCTCATAATCTCCTTGTTGCCTGAGCACACACACACACACACACACACACACACACACACACATCCATCCATCCGTGCACTGAAACACAGTCAAATACAAAGTCTCTCACTGTCACACACACATGCGCTCACACACTCTGGTGAATAGCGTTGAGAGACAAGTGGACAAGCAGAGTATTCTTCCTTCTATTCACAGCAGCCCGTTAGAGACCGGCTGTTGCCCACGGCAACAACACTTTGCTGCGGATACGTACTGAATGTAAACATTCTTCGTCCCTCGCGATCTCATTGGTCAAGAACAAAACCTGATTATTGCAGTGACAGAGACACACAGACAGAGAAAAGCTGAGTGTTGTAACAAAGTTTTCCACTGCTCCCTCTGAGAGTTTGCTCCCTCAAAGACTCAATCGAACATCAGTTGTTTGTTTGGCTAGCCACTGCGGCGCCTCACAAAATATATTGGCCTGGTTCCACCACCCTGACACGAACTAGCTATTTTATGATAAACACACAAAGTGAGAATGACAGCGGGGCCACGGGCTCTTGACAGAACTGTTAGACCATCAAAAATTGTGACTGCAATTAAAACCTCTTTGGTTCGGGGTCTTCCAGCAAACAATATAAACATTTGACAGTGATGAATCCAAGAGGAAACTCTTTGTAATCAAACAGCTTACAAGTAAAACAAAATAACGTTTGTGAATATGCATACGCTGGTCATGCTCATTTCCTCTGTCTTCAAAACTAACACTTTCCAATATGTTTTGTAATTCTAAAAATTTATGTTTTTATAGTTTTTTTCTCCCATTCAACTAAAAAATGGAAAGGAAAATGCACATAATTGCCTTTGAGAGACTTACAAAGAATTGCATACTCAAAGATTTTGAAAGTTTAACATAAAAAGACTAAGCCATCTATTACAGCCAACATGTGCATTGGTTAAATTGTATGTATGCGTGTATTCATGCTCTCTGATCCATCTCTTCTTCTGGAACTCCATTTCCCTCCATTACCTTGGTAGGCCTTGCGGTGTCCAGCAATCAGGTACTTAAGTTCAAAACTGTAGGATCGCATCTTCTGCTGTGTTTCGCTGCGGACAGCTGCCATGTAGCTGTCCTCCATTTTACTGGTACAGCAGCTGGGACCAGGGTGGGCACAAACTCTGAGAGATGCCCCTGAAATTCAAGTACACAAACAACTTGAATCTCAATCGGCATCCAAAATGTCGACACAGTCTGCATTAGTATTAATAAAGCAAGTCCTAATTCAAAACATTTTTTGTTATCAAAGTTGGCAATAACTATATGACAAATCTGGGAAAGGAAGTGCTGCATGTGGTAAGATTTTTCTATTAGTCCTAATATTTCTAAAGGCTGTTGCAACCATTTCTGTCCACATTTGATCCAATGAAATATCTATTTATTTTTTCTCAATATGTCAAAGAAGGGAACTGCTGTCATGGTGTCAGAAAAGTAATCGTACAGTGAGCCTTTTAGGAGCTGACAGGATGACATGAGCAGCAGCCAAATCATCACACTAGCACCATTGTCTTTGTGTGTCTGTGTCTGAGTGTGTGTGTGTGAGTGGAGTAGTCTGACTTTGGTACGTTTCTGTAAGCCAAGCTGACAAGCAGCTGACTGAGATCAAAGACGGAGAGAAAGAGATGAAAAGAATGGACTGTAAAGACATAACACACACAGACACCACATCAGTCAAACCCCAGACTAATTGCTGACAATGGAATTACATGACTATTTATAGGTATTGGTATGTTGTATTACACACTTGCATTCTGGAAAACAGGTTAACTGGAAGGAGGACACAAACAAGTCTTCTTCTTTGAAGTTCCAGACGAGAAACATTTTCCTTTTTTTTTTAAATCTCCTTAAACATAATTTAATCTGCATGACTCAGCTTCCCTTTTCGTCCAAACATGCTGAGTACCTAAAAATGTAAATTTTTGCAGGGAAATGTCTAGAACTGTCAGCTACACCAAAGACAGTTTATCATATTTTATATATACAATATCAGTGAAGAATATTGTGGATGCATGACTCAGTGAAAAAGCAGCCTAATATTTTTTTTACTTTGCTCGAAAAAAAGAATCACTACCCTATGTGACTTGTTTAAAGATGGTGCATACATTCTGTTGTATTTCTCCACAAGAAACAGAGAATATCCTAATATCTTCATCCTGCTGTAAGCATTTGCAAACATGTGACACGCTGCCGGACAGTACAGTAATGAAAGTCATATTAAAGAACTACTGCAGTGCTTTATCTGGTAACTTAAGCCACAGCGAAGTCAGCAGCCCAGATGCAACATGTTTAGTGTCATGTGGCTGCTGGTGATGAATGACTAAATGCCCTCTTCAGTAAACTTAGGTAGATTTGAGCTCCATCATTGTTGCCTCATAAAGATCACATTACTCCAGAAGGTTGATATCCAACCCAACCACTCAGAAGACAAACATGCCTTCAGCAGTAAACAGTGAATCATAGCTTTCGCTGTCCAGACAAAAACCTTAATTGGGTTTTGAATACAGAAAAACTAAAAAACACCACTGGCTGGGCCCGCTTTTAACAGCTATAGCTGATCCTTCCAGGTTATTTTGGTGACCGATTTCAGCAAGAATACCCTAACTCCCCCTTCGTCCTATTCAAAATGTGTCAATGCAGTGCAAGGGTAATCCTCTCTTGGAAATGATCCCATTGTTTTCAAAGCGACGGGGGTCTGAAACATGCAGTTGCAACGAATCCCTGCAAAGTTTAAATCATGGACAGTTTGAAGTCTGAATAATTAAATTACGGTATTGTGGATTTAATATATACATTCAAAAATTGGATAACTAATCAGAAAAAAATACTTATATTAGGCCATAAAATAACAGACTCACTGAACATACACCAAGACATTCAGTCATAGATTATAGTGACAGACACATTGTGAGAAAGACAGTGGAAGCTGATAGAGCTATTTTGAAGTCTTTTATGACTTAATTCGCCACACATTTTGCATTTAAATCTAGTTTTAAATAATAATTTAAACTTGTTTGCAAATAAAAAAGTCAGAAATTGTATGTAAACATTGTTTTAAAACAGGTTACTTCATTAAGTGTATCCCTCTTCATTACATTTTTGCATTTTAGCTTCATTCGCAGACTATTTGCTCACTTCCATCACGCATTCCGAACATTTCCAGAAAGGACTGACTGACCTGTTCCCGGTCTCTGTGGTACCAGCTCCACGGGGCCTATTTGGCGCATCATGTAGGCAGTCTTAACCTCATGACAGCTGTCTGCACCGGCCGATCTACAGCCAGCCTCCGGTAAAAAGACACACCACATCAAAATTACCCAAAACAAGTCCACGTTTTGTAAAGTTGAGCGGAACATCGCAACATGACAGTCGGACGATGGAGTAAGGACTGTTAATATGAATACCGGAGAGCCCCACCGTGCAGTGCGACTGAAAACTTCATCTGCAGCCAGAAAGTCTGTCTGGAAGCCCGTCAGGCTCAGCGCCCTCCTCTCAGTCCCGGGACTCCCCCTCCCTCATTTGACCCCAATTAAGCTACTTAATTAACAGGTGCAGTGTAAATTAATAGTGAAATGTGGAACATTTTAACAACGTGGACGCTACGAATAAATCATAGCCCCCTAAATATAAAAAGGGGAAACATAACATAATGCTAGCAAGTATTATCTCCCAGTATTCAGAAGGATAGGGGTTGACAGTCCATTTTTGTTTTTCTATAGACATAGCTTGTTTTGTCACAAAAGTAGCATGCAATGGATGCTGTACAGATATCAACTATGTCTACTAAAAGCTAACCACTGACGGGAGGGAGAAACGTGAATTACTGCTGCCCCCTGCTGGGTTTCTTGGACTCTGAGACACATCAATACACCGTTGACATTGACAAATTATTTTTACTGTAATTATCCCTTTTGAAATTATGCTAAAAATGTGACCCTGTTGTTTTAAAAATAACACTGTCACAAGTGTATTGAAGCTGACCACAAGCAATTGTCTTCAAAATAGTAAGTATCTTCATAAATTTGAATTGTGTTAAAACTGTTGATTTACATTTGTCTTTCTTTGGCTATCAAGAGGTTGAGGACAAAAAACACGAGCCAGCCAGGAGTCGAACCTAGAATCTTCTGATCCGTAGTCAGACGCGTTATCCATTGCGCCACTGGCCCACGTTCTATCTGGAACGATTAATCACTTTTCATATGTGCTGCAGCATTCATTCTGTTAGATGGAGAAAAATATCTGCCCCGTGTGAGGCTCGAACTCACGACCTTCAGATTATGAGACTGACGCGCTGCCTACTGCGCCAACGAGGCACTGGAAACTGTGACACGTGCAGGGCCAGCTGATTTCCGGCATCAGCCCAGTGTTTACGACTGCATCTCTTCTTTGTTGGTTACATTTTTTCCTAGGTTGCTATTGAGTTTAATTAATTATTTTTTAACGCTTTATTTTCACCTTGATGTTTGTGTTTGCGTGTGCATTTTTTGTTCATTATTCACATTTGGCAAAAATGCTCGATGATGATTGCTGCGTCCCCTTTAAATCCAATCTCCCGCGTTCTAACTGAAGCGGAAGTGCAAAGTCCTCATTTCTCTATTTAAGCGCGCCAACAAAGACTGTTCAAGGAGGTTTGTTGGTACATCGTTTGGTACAGAGCAGACTGCTGATTTTGTGTCGTGCTTTTTCTCTGTTAAAATGCCTGAAGAAACGTCGACTGCATCGAGCTCTGGGAGGTAAGAAACGCTTGAAATATTTTAGTTTGGTCACAAAGGCGCACACTGGGAAAGCACGGCTAGCCCACTTTTAGCAAAATAAAGCAGCTTACAAAGAACTGTAACAATTTAGGGAACACATATTGTCAATCGAACATAACCATAGATGCATACTGTAAGTTACACGCATGTCTAGCGCTAATTACTGATGTTTGGAGGTTAGTCGTTTATATAATTCGTAAGCTAGCTATCACTACAAGCTAACAATAACAAGGCGTCACCCACAATGTAAACCTCGGCTTTGAAGTTGTTTAGTCAGCTACAGTTTTAGTATATTGACGAAAAGTGTCTCATTTTGGTGTTGACTTAAGTTTTTGACTTTGACAGTGCTGAGGAAAAGCCATGCTCGTCAGCTGCTGCAGCCTGGTGAGTGTCCACGACTTTCCAAGACTTGTCCACATCTACATGACTCCCAGCCAACATCTTGCATTTTCTTTTTTCGATTACAGCTCGGCTGATGTCATGGAGGAGGCAAAGAAATTGATCGGCACAGGGAAAAGGCACCTTGTGATGGGGGATGTTGTTTCTGCTGTCGGTGTCTTCCAGGACGCGTGTGGCATGCTGTGAGTCTATGGAGGGGGAAAAAACGGTCATTCATAAACATAAAAACATGTTGTTAGATGACTGACCAAAAATATCTTTGGCTAACAAGTGGCCTTATATTTGCTCTGTGGGATAGAGCAGTACTAATTCTGCCCGTAAGAGCTGAAATGCCTTTGTTTATTTTACAATATTTATTTATCATTAGTAAAAAATATTGCTGTTTTAAATTTTACCACTGCTTTAGAGTGTGACTTTTCTATTTTCATATTATTATTATATTTGGTCCCACCTTGACTATAACTCAGTTGTGTTGTCTTCTTGCCAGAGCTGCAAAGTATGGGGACACAGCAGATGAGTGTGGTGAGGCCTTCTTCCTATGCGGGAAGTCCCTACTGGAGCTTGCTAGGTTCGCCATATTTATATAATAAACAGTTTTTTTGTTTAGTGTTTATTTTTTTATTAAATGTTTGTATTTAATCCTGATACCCAGCAGTCTAAGACAAGCATCATTGCAGCTTACAGGAATATTGATCCTCTGATTTTAATCACGTGTCAATAGGCAATTCTAGGTGTGCCTAGGTGTGTCCTGAAATGCCAAAATGACATACAGTACATTTTAAGTTTTGTATGATATGACTTGCCTTTTTTCCTTTAATTTTTTGTTATTCTAAGGATGGAGAACAGTGTCCTTGGTAATGCCCTGGAGGGAGTCCCAGAGGAGTCTGAGGAGGAGCAGCAGACCAGCAACCCAAATATTGAGAGTGCCGACAACCTTGACGGTCAGTACACAAAGTACTTGATGATTATAGATATATATATATATTTATTTTTTTCCCCCCCCTCCTTTGGGTAGAATACTTATTTTCCTGGATTTTGGGTTGGGTCAAGTTCAAAGTAATTCTGTCTGAATGCAACAATGAATAACTGTCTTCAAGGACAGTTTTTCTTTTTTTGTAATTAACTGTTAAAAGATTGATTCTGTGGGCAGAGAAAACTAGAGATGAGCTACGTAAGCAGGTGTACGATGCTATGGCAGAAGAGGAAAAGATTCAGGATGGTAATTCAAAGCTGGAGTGTGAAGATGTTAAAAGCAAGACGGAGGTGGAAAGAGAAGATGCTGGCGTAAAGGCACCAGTCAAGCCTGGTGTTAAATGCCCGGCGGAGTTCCCTGCGGATGGGGAAGCGGGTTCAGTGAAGGAACATGGAGTTTGTGGAACTGAAAAGGGTTGTTGTGCAGAAGACTTGTGCGAAACATCCCCAGTAAAAGAATTGGGCAAAGAAGAAAAAACAGAAGTTTCACAAGAAAACATTGATAAAGTGGCAGATGATGGAAATGATGAGGAATCCAATCCAGAGGCTGAACAAGATGTCCCAGAGGGTAGTAGATCTCTGCTTACAGAGCACTGTTGGTGGGGGACGGGTTGCACAGATACTGTATTACTCGAGCACCTTTAATTCTGTCACTGAAGATGGGGGGGGGGGAGATACTGGAATGTGATCTACACAAGTTTGCTTTTTATTTTTCTTGCTCTCCTCAGGCTTTTCATTTTTCAAGAACAGTTTGCAATTCAAGTTTATCTATTTCAGATGATGATGATGACGACGACGATGATGACGAAGAGAAAAATGAACAAGATCAGGTAAACTGGTTGAAGTGCAAGTCTGCACTATGTGTGTGTGTGTGTGTGTTTTTTTGTTTTTTTTTATACAGCTTTCTCTCTTTTTCAGGAAGAGGATGAAGTTGGGAATCTACAGCTGGCATGGGAAATGCTGGAAGTTGCCAAAGTCATCTTCAAAAGGTACAGCCAGAAATCCCGTACCTGAAGTCGGTTGACAGCTGGGTAAATGGACATTTCTCAAAGCTTCTTGGACCTGCTGATGGGACCAAGCTTTGAGACCCATTCTATTGTGACATGTCAAAGTCAGTTTTAGTGTCTCAATTCCTACAGAAGGGAAAGCAAAGAGGAGCAGCTAATGGCAGCGCAGGCATACCTGAAACTTGGAGAAGTTAGTGCCGAGTCAGGTAAGCTGCAATGGATATGCAACCCATTTCCCTACCCACCGCATCTCCTGTGTCCAGATCTGACTGCATGGTGTGTTCCCAGGTAACTATCCTCAGGCTCTGGAAGACTTCCAGGAGTGTCTTGCCTTGCAGCTCAAGCACTTGCCTCCGCACAGTCGTCTGCTCGCAGAGACCCATTACCACGTGGCTACAACACTCTGCTACATGGACGAGTACAGCCAGGCCATCCAGCATTACAGCAGCTCCATAAAGGTCATTGAGACTCGTCTCGGTAAGACAGCGTCTCCTTTCAACCAGCAGATTGAGTATTTTAGAACTAAACTTAGCCATTTACAGTTAATTTGGTGTCCTGTGTTTAGCCATGCTGCAGGAGATTATAGATGCTGCAGAAGGAGCTGATGCTGCAGCAGAGGACAAAAATGAGATGGAAGAGCTAAGGCTGCTTCTGCCTGAGATCAGGGAGAAAGTGGAGGATGCCAAGGAGAGCCAGAGAACAGCCAGTGCTGCCTCACAGGCCATCCAACAAACACTTGTAAGTGTATCGCCTTAAGCCTGATGAATTCAGTCCTTTTTTTTTCTTTCCAAAAAACTAAATGTGTTGAACTTTTAACAACTCTTGCAGGGTGGTGCTTCCACTTCAACATTCCTTTGTGAAAATGGTGGACCATCATCATCCTCATCGTCGGCTGCATTTGCTACAACCAGTCAGGTAAACGCATGGCTGTAGGACTGTACTGTAAGTTATACTGTACAACCCAACAGTGTCAAAGGCAGCCATTTTTAACTCGTATGTTTCAGATTCCAGTTAAAAAATGCGACAGTGCCTCGTCCTCCAAAACCGTGTCCGACATCTCTCACCTGGTCAGGAAAAAGGTGGGGCCCACATCCTGTCACATGTCAGTTACCAAAGAGAACACACTTGAAGAAAACTGAAGCGATGATCATTGGAACGTCTCTCTGTTCTGAAACTGGAGCTGGTGCAGTGAGAAGTCTGCTTGTCTGCTTTGGTTGAACGGGGTTGTGGCTTCCATCAGTTTAGCCTGTTTGTGGCTCTGTCCTGCAGTGATTGAAGTGTGGCCTGTTGAGGTTGTCTGTGTTCTGGTGACTGAGGCAGGATTGAACTTTGATTTTTGGGCTGAATTGTGTGCGTGACCAAATGATGCATGACTGTGAGATTTAGCCTATTTTGGTTGCTTTGTCAAATCAAACTGGAAGCTTAACATTAAATCGAGTTGTGCCAAAGCCTTTAGTCATTATTGCTCCCTTGTGCCCCGGTTTTGTTTCTACACAGAGGAAACCAGAAGAGGAGAGCCCAGTAAAGGACACAGATGCTAAACAAGCAAAACAGGAAGCTACAGTAAATGGCAGCGGTGACTCTAGTGCCAGCAACAGTGAAGTCCAGGAGGGAAAATCACAGGAGGCGAGTGATAGGCCTACTTGTTTTTTCAGACATTGAAATTGGGCTGTGATTCAGCTCATTTAGGAAGGCAGGATCGGCAGAACTGACACTTGCATGTGGCTTGAGGTGTTTTTTTGTTCTTTAATCTCGAGCGATGGTTCTCTTTTTAGAAATTGCATCTCCGAAACAAAAACATCTGTTTGAAAACTCAAGGTGTTGTGGTACACTTCATTATGATGAGTTTCATAGAAATCCCTTCCCTGATCTAAAGGGGGAAGATGGGCAGCAAAATGTTAATGCTTATTTGAATGGATAACTGAATTTTTTTTATTTTATCCTTGATGATTTAGAAGTTTTTCTGTCCTTTTTTCTTTTTTCTCTAGCCTTCCACCCAGTCGGCCTCTGTGGAATCCTCATCGTGACTGGCTTAATCCATTTCCTGATCTCTGAAACCAGCACAGCATGCCTGTCCAGTCTGTCTCATCATTCAGTGTTCTTGTTTCTGTAAATAAGATCCATTTTCACAGATTTGTTTGTCAGGTTTTGTATACTTGTAGTAAAAGACACAATAAAGAATTTGCAGATGTAAGTTTCTAATGGTTTTCTCTTATTATACATATATTTTTCTCTTTTTAAAAGACTTCCATATGTTTTTGTTTCAATAGTTTGGTCTTGGCACTGAATTTATAATTGTTTTTACGTGGACAGCGTAGCTCTGGGAATACTTCATTTAATAATGCTGTGACATACCATATCTATAGAGGGAGCCAAAGAGTGCAAAATCTACCCCAATGCCATGTGTCCTTTCAGAATCAACTCTGAGAGGACTTTAACAATTAGTGTTGAACCCTTGGCACTTCAAACTCTGATATATGAACCACAGCTGACAAAAATGCTAAGGCTGAATTTTAAGTTTTTTTTCCTATGTACACTTTATTGCTGGGCCTTTACCCATGAAAAACTGGTCCCAAAAAAGTGATTGTATAAACAGATTGAACCCCTAAAGACAAGTAAATATGGAGACCATTATATCTCCTCCAAACGTTGTTCTCATTGCACTGAACTTGATTTTATCTCTTCTGCTCCAGCTGCTAGCTGTGAGTGTGCATCAGGGTCCAGTTGGTGCTCATGGAACATCACCACCGCTCTCATCTCCAATGGCTCACTGTGACCCAGCTGATGCCTACTTGCATTTGGAACATGTTTAGAAACAGATTAATGCACCAAATCTCACGCAAGAAGCAAACTGACAGTGTGAAAACAGATGAAAAAAAGACTGATACAGCACACATCCAGTAATGCGCTCCTCTTTCCTTCTCTTTGGCGGATAACTGAGAGCCGGAGAACAGATTTGGATATATTTTGACATTTGCGTAGGAATCTGACCTATTCAGACTGACCTTGGCTGATATTCAGACATTAATATTTAATTAAAGGCCGTATCATTCTTTCAGTCCTTTGAATAACATGACACAAAAAACACTAACTCCTTTATCCGTCTGAATACTAGTATGCTTTCTTGCCTGATCAATTTTGTGAATCATTGTTTTAATCTTAAAAATTCTGATATCTGAGAGATGGGGAAAGAAGCCTGCTGGGACTCATCACTGATTTTCTGCTCACCCTCTCCTTCATAATCATGTTCATAAACCTCACAAACAACGCAAAACAGCAAGCAATTTCTTTCTTAGATATCAACATATCTTTGCCTTTTTGTTTTACAACAGAATATGTAACATATTTCCAATGGAGGCCCTCAGGTTCGACTCATGGTATTGTTCTAATAAAAATATAAAAAATGATGGATATATACATATCTATTTAAGTATCTAATTTTATGGATCAGCTTATTTAGTCAAAATCTGTCCGAACTTATCCCTTGCATGTTGCAATAATTACGGTATTTTGATTTTTTCAGAAATAAGGCTCAACTTGGTGTCAATAATTTGTAAAATTGACCATGTCATTATGTGGATAAATGTCCCATCATGCTGTGATATAACATGATTGTGTTTTAGGCAAACAGGACTGTTTTTTGTATTCTCTGTTCCTTCCATCATAATGCGCTATAGAAACACTACACATGAGCTTTTATTCCATCCACGGGAACGTTCATAATGTGATTTCTATTTATGATAATGTTCAGTGTATCTGATGTTTCATCACACTCGAGTGAGCTCAACGAGAGGCTGACTACAGCTGTGTTATGGAAGTCTGGCTTTGTCAGAATCAACAAAAAAAAAAAAAAAACCTGAACTTCCACCGAGCATATTCACTCAGACGTATGTGTCCATGCCTGTTCATAATTTCATGCATCTGTGAAAAACATGTTGTTTTTACAGTTGTAAGGTTATACAAACACAATTCTTATTGAATAGGTTCCTGCTTTGAGCGAGAGTTTAAACAAAATTAGAAGAAGCAATTGGTCACCAATGTAAAAAATATCTACAGGAGATTTGAAATTCCAAACTTCTTAAAAGTGATATTTACTTTCGTTTTACCTTTTTTTATGAAAAGGTTGATTTTTTTGTTATTGTCTGTTGGATAAACAAAACAACATGATTATTTATGCAGTTAATGCAATCATGAACAAAAAAATCTAGATATTTTTGAGCCTGATGTCAAAGTAAAGTTAAATTCCCGTAATACAGCCAAGAAATTACTGGTTGCTGCGGTAATCTGTGTTTGTTCATGTTCAGTTGTAATGAGTAGAAACCTACCTATGAACCAAACCTTCATGTGTGTATTAAATGGTATCTCGAATCTAAGAGCAGAGTTTCATCAGCTTGGATTGTGTGATGGTATCAGCGTTTCTCAACAATTCAGTCCTGCGGTGTGAGTCACCATGTCCGAACTCCCTCAGGCCGTCAGGAACACACACTCTGCCATCTGACCTCCGTCTCAGCATTGTCAAGAATCCGTCAGGAATTCTGTCCAGTGTTGTGTGAAATTGCACTTAGTCGTACCCTTTTTTTAAATTTGTTTAGCTTTAGCTTCTCAGTGACATAATCATATTTGACACTTTTAGTGCATTGATATGGTTTTTACATACCGTGCCAGTGTGGACAATAAGTTTTCTGTTCTCTCCTTCCAGTACCTGTTTTGCACACTTTCCTTTTTAAGACAGCGTTGCACTTCTCTGCGCATATTAATGTGAGTGTGCAAAAATAAACCTTTTGAAATATTGAAACACTTATGCATTTTATAACATGATTTTTTATTTTGAGTAATACTGCATCAGAGCACGGGTTGAACTGTTTTTTTTTTACAGAAATGACTGTAAAACAGAGACTGTTGTAACACTTAACAATCCAACGATACATAATCACTGCCTTCACTGTGAGGATTCCTCGGGGAATGCCATTTTGTGATTGCCCGTAAATTCTTCTCGGTAACACTTGAGTCTGCGCTGTGGCGGGATCATCCACCCAAACACACAGACAGACTTCTTCTGATGCTGCGGAGAGCTGAAATATTTAACATCCATCCACGCTTCCGACATACAGACAGTGACATTGAGAACTTGAACTCCTTTCTTTCTCCCACATCTCTCCTCTTGCTCTGCAATGTATACCCATGCCAGTCTGTTGCTAAGCAACTGTAAAATAAAGCAGAAGTCGGAGTGAAGGAGAGGAAGAGAGTTCACAAGTACTGCAATCCACCACTGTTTGTTTGGCTCTCTACATGATCCCACCACAGCTCTCAGAACCCATCTGTGGATGTGCGAGGACTTGTGACTTCTGGTTCCCTGTCGGCCGACCAATCAGGGTTGGCTGTGAGGCGGGCTCAGTGGTTCCCTAGGCTACCTGTGTGATTGACACTCAGCCTCCTGCAGAGGAGCGCACGGCAGTGTATCACTGATGCTCCCGTTCGCCCCCAAGACAGTGGAGAAATCTGGAAATGAGGAGAGACGGAGAGAAAACACAAGAGCAAGTGGAATTCTAATTATTTAAAGTCCTTCACTCTTCCTCCTGCTCTCTTTACTGGAACGATGAACGCTGGAGTGCAGGAAGAAGCCAGCTGAAGAGAGAGGAGAGGAAGGATTCCCGAATAAGACGGGATTTGTTGGTGAGAGAAGCCCCACATTACTTTCCTCATCCTGTCTTGGCTTTGTCAGTCCCTTGTCCTTATCATCACTGTTAATTACTGGACAGCAAGTAAACGTGGGGTCTTTTGGCCGTGCATTTTATGTTTGTGTGTGTGTGGGTGACAAAGAGAGACAGTTTTTCTGCATGCTGCGTGCATGAAGAAAGGATCTGATGTTACTATTTGAAACCCAGCAAAAATGAAGTCTATACCACAGAATCAGTTATGCCTGTGCTTTAGCTGAGTCAAGAAGTGTTCCCCTATATGAGTGCATAGGAGCTAGAGGGATTTGAATTAACTCCATCAGTTGGGATACAGTTACAGCTGAGGCAAGGATTTCTGGGCTTGTCTACTGTATCTGCATAAGAGGAGGAGTATTAATTACATAACACTTAATCTATACTCTTTTGTCAGGGCTGTGCAGCATCATGATGTCCTACTAGTCCACAAAAGCTTTATTGCTTTATCTTCTGTATTAACCTAATGGGGAGTCTGTCCATGTGTGTGACTATTCACATTTATTTCTCACATGCATCCTGGGTGATCCTATCACGATTGAGCAGTTAATCACAGGTTACTGGTGAAAAAACTTCCGATCTTGCAAGCCTTGTTGCAATATGAAAGAGCAAAGGCTAAAATGCCCATTGGACTCATATAGCTCTAAGTGCCTGTGCGGCATCAGCCCTCTGTGACACCAGGACTGTCTAAAACCTCCATTAGTTACCTCAGGTCAGGCAATAGCCAGCCCCACTTTACCCTCTGGACTCGTCTCTGCACCATCAGGGACTTTCTGCTTGGCTGTTTTCACACCAAAAGTCCGCTCACCGACCACCTGAGGACACCTCAAATGCTTTTATGTCAGGTGTAAAAACTTTCAGCTGTAGGTATTCATTTATTTGTTTATTTAGTCATTACTTTTTCATCCGTGCTTGAGGAAACCTTTCTTGAAGCTTCTGAAACTGCAGACAAAAGGAAACACTTCTCACGTCCAAAATGTAAATTTTTACAGAATCAGATATTGAACCTTAAACTAATATGTAAACTGTGCAAACTAAACAAGCAAGCTTCTTTGCAACGTTTGTTATAATTAGAAAATATTAAAAAATAGAACACAATATGCTGTTATTTTGGTAAACTGATCAGGCTTAGAGTTCATCTTCAAGCATTGAATATCTCAGAAGTTTTGTAAATGTGTCAGACATCATGATTTGAAGCCTATATGGCATTTATTACATTCACCAGATATGTAAAAACATTTCCATCTGCATCATTAAAGCAACTGTTTGTTGTTTCAACCAGAAAAATGAGAAGCATTTCCAGCCTCTGTATCTAAAAGCAAAGCTTGACTGGTTACTCAAATGATAAAGATGTGCTAGTGAGTAGAGAGCTTGTAATAGTCCTGTTCAAACTGTTTTCAGTTATTAGCGCCCTGTAGTGATAAAACAGATTTAAAGGGTAATTCAGCTTTCAAAATGGCTTTCAAAATGGCTCCAATAAGAAATGAAGATTCTTGTGGGATACACCTCCTTGTGAATTGAGAGATCTGTCTCCCACCAATCTTAATGTTATCTGACTCATGCTGCTTATAAAACTCTGCTCCATCTTGTCAACACACCAGTATGTCAGCCCAACAGGTTTTCTAGCTCGTCATAAATACGTTTTAACAATAAGACTTACAGTTTGGATCATGAAACCTTTTTCTATTAAAATCTGGTCCTGCTTAGAAATGTATTATCTTTGTGAGTACACGTTAAAAAAAACAGTCGACACGGTTAATTCAGATCCTCACTGCAGAATCCCGGGTCTAAGGAATAAATTTGGCAGTTAACAAACTGCTTGGCAGCTGAAGGTTCCCTGTCTTCTATCAGATAGAGTTGATCAAATATTCTTTAGCTTTACAGTATCTACATTTGGAGGTGTTTGGGTCTCAGAAGCTGCTGCCTGTCTGTCTGCCTGCGTAGGTGGAAATATCTTCACAGCTCTGTCTACTGCAGATATAAAGGTTTAGGATTTGTTTCTGCTTCATTAGGCTCTATGCTCAGCAGTGCAGGCAAGAAGACAGGAAGAGAAAGGGGAGATGAGACAGGCCAGAAGCCAGATTTGAGCCCACATCATCACAAGTACATGAAATTCACCTCAGCCCACGGATTTTCTGGGATGCCCCACAGCGGAGAAATACAGTATCAGCAGTAATCCTGCTATTACACTTGGTGAACCCCAGAATAACTCCTGACTAGGGCTCAGAGGTTGGTTGCAATCACTTAAGTTTCTGATATCGTAATGATGAAGTGTGGCGATTGAGTGTGTGAATGTGAAGTGAGTTTTAAATACTTTAATCTTTAGCATATAATGAAATAATTTCTATTCATAAAACCAAACAGCTTTTTTAAAAGATACAGAAACAGTAGCGCATTGATATTATTTTCTGTGGAGGTAATAGTGTTTATTCCGATGATGCATCAAAAATTGAAAGATGCCACAAAACACCCCCAAATGAAAGCGTGTCCATGTGTGCAGTGCTATCTGCCTCATAGTCAGGAAACCAATGCAAATTTATTTTCAGTTCATTTTGAAGCTGTAGACAGAAGATGATTTACTTAAAAGTAGAATTTGCTTGTTGTAGCAGGTTATGAATTTCCCTGCCTCCGCTGAGTCTGTGATGACATTCTCTGTCAACATAATTACCCCTTGCTCCAAATAAGTATATGGAGTCCTTAGTAAGCCTCTCTCTATGATCTTTTCCAGATTAAATATTTAAAAAAGCACATAAATGTCAATTTTATGTAGCACCTATCTATCATGCAATCCTACAGTTAGAACTAGTGTCGTTGAAAATTCTTAATCTCAAAGGACATAATGTAAATATACTTGTTTTAATAATAGTTTTCATATTTTCCACTTACTAATGTGTTGGAAATGTGTAACTAAGACTGAAAGATGTACTCTTATGTTTTAGTGAATATTGTGAGAGAAAATCTGCATTTATCAACTACAATGACTATCATTTTTCTATGGTTTTAAACTTGACACTTGTAAGTGGAAAATGGACTGCACTTATTTATTGACACACGCCTACAATGATACTCAATTTATGCAGTTCTGTAGGTTATATATTGTTTTTCATCTCTCATACTCACATTGACAAGCATGACTTCTGCAAAACGGGATTCATTGAGTTGGCAATGTGAAATGTGGACTGGTGAAGCCAGGAAATAGCTCTCCAGCTTTGAGATGAATTACTAACCAATATTCCTCCTGATTTACAGACACTCAGAGGACCTTTGTTTTGATGCATTCCATTTGAACTTGGAAGTTTTAGTAGGGAAACTTAACTGGGACACTCTGACTCTTTAGTCAATGAAACCTCAACAAGATCCAACCTGGCTGCCCTGCTCATGACATGACATGGGGCAATGGTGCTTTAAAAAACAGTTTATCACTGAGTGGTTCTGCTTGCATGTAATCAGCTGACGTTTACTGGGGACTTTGATGGTCAACACTGAGGAACAACTTTGAAGTATTCTTTTAAAGGTGCCTGCTATTCATCAAACATTTTCATATGAGGGCTTCCTTGGTGACTGTGACATAACTGTATGGTAAAAGTTTCACTTATGCTACACAAAATAAAATATGTGTATAATAATTTATATAATAATATATAGACAAAGTTCAGTGTGTGTTGGGCCAGAACCCGTTTTCACTGGAAGATTGTGTGTGTGAACCTTGATGTGAGACAATATTTTGGCCTTTTCCTATCCCTATAACCCTAAAGGAATGGTTCCACAATATCCACATTTCTTTTTTTTATTTGAAAAATTAATTTGGAGAAAAAACTAGAAAATTATCATTTGTGTATGAGAGAAGTCAAAATCCACAGTGGTGTTGGTTGTGATGCACTTATTTTTGGATTATGTCATGCATTTAGTCCTAATTTTCTTTTGTATAATGTCAATATGTTTGGGAAAAAAACGGTCACTTAAAGCAAGAAGACCTTTTCAGCTGCAAATGACACGATAATCACAGCTCCAACAACAAGTCTATAAATATCTGTTTGATCAATATTCTCAACTTCTGCTGCCACCAGCACTTTGTCTCTGGGAGGTCACGACTGGATAGATATAATTTACATATTAGGATCCAAACCCTTTAACAACCAATTAATTCAGGATTGCTAAGTTATCAAAACAGTAGTTTGTGCAGAATTAAATTACATTGCAAGTCAATTATACAGTTTTTTCTACTCCAACTAATTTTCACTTCTTTCATTTTTTTTTGTATTTCATCATTTGTTATTCGTGATGATCTACTGTCTCTCTTTAGTACATTAAAGTCTTGCAGTCATACAACACTATGGGTTTAATCCTCAACAACACACATGTACAGTAAGTGTCAAGAGATGTCAGCAGCTACATCTGCTGCCTCGCAGCATTTACAAACATGTGATGCCTCAGCAAGTTAAAGAAGATGAACAGTCAGTGGACTCTGATCTGTGTTAAGGACATCAGCGGCTGCTTCTACTATTTCCATACTTAGCCCAGACCACTTAATTTATCTTGGTGTGAGAATATTTTTAGATGATCGTATATACTTTGTTCGGTTTATTGCTTTGTTTATTTAATAATTTGGTGTCTTAGGTACCTACGTGCTTAGCTTTGTTGATATCCCCAGGTTAAGCTGTGTCACAGCCTCACTCAGCCTGAAAAAAAAAATTGAAAGTAACACCATATAACTATGAATAGTAATATCACCTGAACTGAGACACTCTCAGGTGAAATGGTGGTTTTAACTGTCATGCTGGATTTTGTTGCAACACCTAAACTAAACAAATCGCAACATAGGCAAAACCTGATATTGTTAGTTCCAAGTGAAAATGTGTTAATCATGTCTCTTGTTTCTTTAGAGAGAACAAAACAACATCTTTCTTGAAGTATTGCCAGGTGGAAGATTCCTGATAACCTCCAGGAAGCATTTTACTATGTAGA